TTTAGACCAGGGGTGTCAAACTCATTTTTGTCGTGGGCCACTTTGGAGGTACGTCTTCCCTCGGAGGGCCGTTATGAGAGTGGAGCCACAAAAAAGTTGACCCGTCTCATAGCATGATTACTTGTACACAAAAAATTACTGGATTTCTAGTTTTGACATCAGTCAACTGTCATAGTTTGTCAGTTATTCTTCAAGTGAGTGTAAACAGCGTAACAAAATGATTGCAAAATCTCAATGTTATTGATCACACCTGAGAATTTGACATTACGGTACAGATTTAAAGGTCATGCGAGTTGATACACCTGATTGTCTTTCGGAGGGTCACATAAGATGACGTGGCGGGCCGGATCTGGCCCACGGGCCTTGAGTTTGACACCTGTGCATTCGACCGTATGCGGCCGTTCTCCCCCTTTTCAGCCCATATCCTTTGGAAATTCCTTCTATTTTATACATTTAACAGGTACGCATTGGAATGGCATGACCTAATTCCCTACAAATTGATTTCTCATCTGCTACTAAGCGTAGAGACACTACAGGGCGGAGGCATACACTTACAGTATGTTCATAAAAATAGGGGGTGGTGAGCACTGGAATTTGTGATGTCAGCAGAAAGGAAAACATGCATGATCACTACGGATTAAAGAGTCATACTCATATGCAACATTGTCCTGCTTAATTTTTTTTTTGCCCTCATGTTGGAGCTGGTCGGACCCGGGCAAGGTCAGGGAGTTGTTTACAGCATTTGTGGATATCATTTGTGGTCATAAGTGGAATGGTGAAAGCCAAATTAAGTGAGCAACCCATTTACTCACTCGCTGTAAAAATGGATTTGCATAGTATCGCATTGCAAAAAGTAGTACTTACTGTGCAGTCATTTATAAAGCAGAGAGCTTAATGGAAACTTAATTATTTTGCTAGGGATGTAAGATATTCATGTGATTCAGTAATGGGAAATGCAGGCAACCTTGTGATTATCATACTGTTATGTAATTTCTGACCTAACTTGGGAAACAAAATAGTCAATCTGTTTGGTTGTTGAGTGCTGGTTTATCCATCCAGTGTCTCCTGCTTTTCCCCGTTCAGGGCTATGAGAAAGGTGGGAGTCTTTCCCAGCTGACTTTTTGTGAGAGGTGGGCTCTCGTTCTCAGTCAATCACAGGGCACAGAGACAAACAACCATTCACACTCTCATTCACACCTACACTCGAGTTGGAGCCTTTAATTAACCTCACTTGGATGCTTTTGGGAAACCCACACAGGCACGGGGAGAATGTGCAAACTTGGCGAAGCCTGAGCTAAGGTTCAAAAAAACCGAGAGCCTCTTAAATGTGAGGCAGATGTGCTGAGCACATGTGGCACTATGCTGCTCGATGGGTGATACAACCCCAAACCTGTCACTTCAGAATTAAAAATTGCTGACAAAATCATCTCTAAAGTTGCGCAACCACCTCCATGTATGACAGAATGAGAGACCTTTGCATTATAGTATGTCACTTTTTTAGACATGAATGAAATGTATTAATGAATTGATGGCAATACGAGCGTCGCTGTCCCGGTTGGTCAGTAAAGCAAATGGTTGAAAATTTTCTATGAACCCTTTCATCCACCAATAACGATAACCTGTAACCCGATAACATGATAAGCTGTCCACTGTAGTAACCGCTGTCCCCGAAAGGGATAAAATAAGAGCAGGCCACTGCGACTTTTGACGTGGTTAACATGGTTAAAAAATTGCTGTCCTGGTTGCTCAGTACAATAAGGCGAAGTCAGACATGAGTAGACAATGATAACAAAAGAAGAAGAATTGAATGTACACTGCATAGTGAGCCATGCAATTTTATTTTGTTGTCGTCAGAGACGCATATTCACTCTAATTTGCAAAACTCTGGGTGGGTGTTACATCTTATTGTCAATGGTGGAAAACTTATTTTTTCATTAATATGACATAACAAAGTTACAATGTTCTGCTTTCAAAGCTATATCATATTTTACGATGGCAACAGTTTGACTTCATAGATTAATTCCATTGTTTTCCAAGAGGCAAAATGTTTTGAAATCTGAATAAACCACCGAGCGCCTGTGAACGCATTGTTTGACCTTCGAGGCGTCGTTGTACTTTTTAATCAGCTGAACCACAACAAAGAAGTTGTGGGCGCAATCGTTCGGTGTTTGTCATGGCCACACCACAGCTGCAAAACATTTCGGGTCACAATCAACTAACTCATGCTACACACATCGCCCTCGAATTCCACAAAGGATAGCAACACATTCAGACATCATGACACTTAAAACGAAAAACAAAAGTGTTTTGACAGCATTCAAAAATGGATCCTATGATGTCATCGCTGTGGTCTACGAACCTGATGAATGGACCACAGAGGTCCATTTGTGGGTTGTCGGGTTTCGACTAGCGACGGTTCAGGCATGTTGAGTGAGAACAATAAGAGTCCTTTTAACAAATATTTCCCTAAACTAGTGCCCTTCACCGCTTATTTCAGCTTCCTGTGTTCCTGCTGCCTGCGGCTTTTTCTTGTTGGTCAAATGACACCGTGTGTTGAAATCGGAGCGCAGATGACCTCATGCAGGGCAATCCGTGAGGTATTTGCTGAACACGACAGTAAGGTTAGTGCCGCCATGCGCTTGCTCTAGTGAGGTTAAACCTGTAGATCAGTTGCTATTGTTCAGCTAATCACAACATTGCAACGTTCTCGCAGGATCAGTTCCATTGCTCCCACTTACAATCGGAATTGCTCTGAATTCACAAAATAGAGTCTGGTGGATGCCTCTGTCTAAAGGATCTTAATGCCGAGCAGATGAGAGCTGCACAGATGCCAAGTCGCTCCTCCGGTCTAAAGTGGCGAGTGTGTCCTCTTCCAAAGTGCAGACATGCACATGGTTACTTCTGGGCTGGCACCAGAACAAAGCAATTGCTTGATGATGTGCAATCATCAATTACATTCTGATGGTGCGAGTGTGCTCCGTATAACCGAGCAGAGAAGCGTGCATTAACTGAGCGTGAAGACAATTATGTAAGAATGCCTTCTGCTAAGTGAATCAGGCGCAAGACTCTTGTGTTTTTGTCATGTCTCAGCATTTTTTAACTATGTGCTTGCCTCGTGTTGATTCGCTTTGAGATATGACTGTTTTTACATTAGACACAGTAAGTAAGCATCACGGGTTTATGATGCAGCAGTTCCAAATGAGAATCGTTGTCCTTCCTATTTTTGTAACTGGGCATTTCAAGACCACAAATCCACCTCCGCATTGACAGTTTGCCAATGCTTTGACCCACTCTCATTTACTCTCGCACTTAACCTAAATAGTATTGGGTTGCTTCTTCGATGATGGAAAGATCTGAACCGTGTCATGTAACATTCATGTCGGCGAGTAAAAAAGGTTTGGCTGCATTTAAAAGATGAACTGAACTGACTTCATATTGATGTTTGGATTTCCCCCATCCTCGCGTGGTTTTTCTGCCGGTGCTCCCGTTAAAGAAAAAGGAAGGATGGGCAAACATTGTGGTTGTCTAATGCTGATTCCAGATTTTCTGTTAAGAATGTGAATCACAATGAAACAGGGTTGCAGACATTACCTCCTTTCAGATGCCACGAATATACAGCTACAGGTATCAGGCCCTAATCCAATTATTTCCAGGCTATTGGACCTACTGACTTGATCTTTTAAGTAAGAATAAACAGCAAGACACAAACAGAAAAAAAGGTATAATTGAATAGATTGTCAAAATGTATCCCAAGGTTGGGCCAACATTTTGGAAAATCAGTGTTTACACTGCCTCTGCAACTCTGATCAATATGCAGGTAAGGTCAATTAGAGAGACATTTGTGAGAAAATTGTGATGTCACACTTTACTGGCCTGAGGCAAAACGGAGCAGTATTTTGTTTGTACAATCAGTTTGCGCATTGCTTTTTCTCTTCTGACTAGAGGGACGTCAGTGCCCTTGCTTCCCCTCTGTTTAGGGTTATTCTCTGAAGCAGATGACTTAGCATTTGGTAGCTATACCCCTTCCCCTTCACTAAGCTCCGTGTCAAACCCCTCCCGCCCCGCTTACAGCAGTGAGGTAACATGTTCAGCACACAATAGAATACAATGGGAACAAACAGGCGGGGGACAGAGGTGTTAGATGACTTGTCTTTGTTTGGTGTGAAAGGCTGATGCGGCACTTTCGCAGCTGAATGACGGAAGATGGCTGACACTAACCTAAAGGAAGAGAAAGCTGAAAGAGTGTCTGTGCACTGCGTGTGTGTGTCTCTCAGTCGGTCTAAGTGTGAGCGAATGCCATGAGATCACTCATCACATCTCCCAACGGCTTTGGTGGGTCCTGCACATCGTGTCGTTGAAGACTAGGGTCTATTATTGTGACCGGTGTAAATCCTGCACAGCGTGTGACGTAACTTTGGATGGAGGCGAGTTAGATAAGATGTTGGTCATTTCGTAGAGAAGCGCAGGCCGGTGGATCTGAGATGGAGTATTTTGCTGTTGTAGGAGTGGTCCCAGACAACTTCAAATTATGGGCAATTGATGCGACTGCGCCGCTGTGGGAGTGGTCATAGCTGACTTCAATTGTGGCCAATCAATGTGGCTCCTTTCATTGGGCGCCATGCTAGTCGTACATGAAAGTCAGAAGATCAACTGCGCCGTGAAGGACATCCCCCCCCCCCCTGCACCCGGACCGATCATGCATGTGCCACCTCATACCCAGGTGCTAATAAATATAAAACAATTATTTAGAAGGTTTGAACCCAGCTGATCACATATTTATGACCAGAATACCTGTACGTCGTATTAAACCGACTGTGTAAGACATGGACTGAGTAGGCGTTTAGACTTTCTGCCACCAAATTTTCACCCTGCCAGGCATTTCCAAGAGACTCTTTCGGCTGCGCCAGCCTGTGCAGCTTGGCGGAGACCGCTCTGCCAAATGGCAAACATGCGCATCAAGCCTTGTGCTGTTACAAACATCAGGATCCGCTGGCTTTTTCGACACAACGCAGTTTTCCCTCCCGATGACAACAGAGCCTTCAGTGTTGGAGTAGCAAATATTAAACATTTGTTCTCCTTTGATATCCAGCATACTCACTATTCTACGTAGTCTAGTCTTTTTTTTCTTCCAAATTACACTGCCTTGAAGCACAACTGAAATGGCAATTACGTCACTTTTTTAAGTCCAGTCGGTGTTGAACTCAACCAATGATCAGCGCTGCTCAAATTTTGAATTAATCATACTTGTGTATCAGTGGCGTATTATGTCAGACAGCTCACTTGGGATAGAAAGTGAGAGCTTTTTCCAATTTTAAATTGGATTCGGGCAAAGGAGGGCTATTTCTACAACACATTGAAGAAATATGAGTAAATGGTCAAAATCTCATTTTCAATTTTGACAAGCATCAGGAGGGACAGAGAAAAGATTTCATTTTGAGCTCTCATTTCCTCTGGGTTTGGGGGAAAAAAACTCCACTTTTGAGAACATTTTAACAGCGGTGGATGGATAACTTCCATTTTTTTTTTATTAGTGTTTGAATAAATTCATTCCCCCCTCAAAAGTCATCATCATATGCCGACAAAAAATGTTGTTTCCTTCCAAATTAAGTAAAAAATAAAATTAAAAAAAGCTTTTGTTTAATACTCTGTTGATGCACAATTGGCAGCAATTACGGCCTCAAGTCTTTTTAAATATGATGCCACAGACTTGGCACACTCATCTTTCTTTGCAGCAGGTCTCAAACTTCATCAAGCATCCAGCCATTTTCAGACCTCTCCCGGATTCAAGTTCAAGACTCTCAAGTCAGACTCAAGTCTCCTCCAAGACTCAAGGACATTCACAGGGTTGTCTTGAAGTCACTCCTCTGATATCTTGACTTTGTGCCTGTTGTGGTTGCAAAATGTAAATACCGCAAGCATTATTTTCAGAGGTTGAAGTGGGCATAAGTAGTGATGTGCACGTGCATTTTGGTGACTATTCACAGCAGTAAGCGACGTTAAGCTTTTTTTTACGAGTACAATAAGCGACGATCTCCGTTTTCAGTCGACAGCAGGTGGCATAATGGCAGCCCCCTGCGATTCACCAGAATACCGCGTTTCAACTAGTGGGGGCGCACAGAACATATTGCAAAGAACATTTTTGAAGGCAAAGGGCATTGTAACCAATCGGCGTCTCATATATTTCTGCCACTTAAAAAACTTGGGAAGACAACCGTATTAGCACTTGAAAAGAGCCATCACAAGTACGCTTCGTGACCCTTGTGTTTACCCTTTGACAGGTCCGACTGTCACTTCTAAAGGGGCCCCCCGTCCGATCAATGCCGTCCCCGAGCGTCACGGTTGGATCATCTGGCCCTGCCCCTTTGGTCGAACACGCACCGAGCTGGCTGGGCTGTGACAACAATAACACTCGTCAGAGCGTAACGGAATTGCGAAAGTGATTCCGGACAACTTTCAAACATGCCACGTCAGAGAGTGGGCAAGTCGTGAAGCGTACCTGGCGGCTGCCATCCGCCGTTGCCAAGGTTTCCGTGTACGCGCTGCTTTTGCCTGCTCGCCTGCGCGCGCGCTTCTCTCCCGTTGGCAGACATGGCGGCGGACCTCCAGCCCGAGTGGATTTCTGGTCTGCCTTCTTCCTGGAGTTATGGACTTACTCGTGACGGACGCGTCTTCTTCGTCAAGTAAGTGTGTGTGTTGATCATTACGGGACGCCGTTGCGCGAATGATGATGGTGAGCGCTAACGTAATGCGTCTCGCTCCGTCGCCTCAGCGAAGAAGCCAAGAGTACAACCTGGCTCCATCCCCTGAGCGGCGAGGCGGTCATAACCGGACACAGGAAAACTCCAGGTGAGGCGTCCGTTACTTTGCTCCGCTGGTCTCTCTAAAAGCGTCGTCATGGCTGCTTCTTGCCCAAAGCGGCGGCGACACTGCGCTGCGTGTCTGTTTAATGTAATGGGCTGTGACAAAGTGGGCGCTCCCATATGCCAACCTTTCACTGGGTCGTGACACTTCTTCCCCGGGTGGATGGGCCATTTTGTTATGGCCCATCCACTTAATTACATTTTACTTTCAATACAGATAAAAGACTTATGACCTTGCTCAGTTAACTGGCAGTCTACTTGTAAAAGGCACAGCTAGCTGTTCCCAAAGCACCTGCTCGTTAATGTATTGTTGCTATTCTATTGCTGTGATTGCTGATGAATGTTTTTGCTACCTGTACTCCTGCAGCGTTGCAATGTATTACATCAAGCCAACCTTTCCCCTTTTATTTCTGTTGTTGATTCCTTTGCAGATTGCATTGATGACTCATTAGGTGTTGATCTGGGCAACCTGAAATGTTTGAAATGTTCCTGTGTCTGCACTGCTGTGACAAACATTGTTTTAGACCGGTGTAGTGCATTCAAGTGCAGTTCAGTTGTATTAACTTTGAAGTAAAATTCAGTTGCCTTGAATTCTGAAGATTTGTACAATTTTAAATTAAACAACTACTCTAAAACAATTATCAATTATCCCTAACATTTGCCCAGTAACAGCATTTATTTAACTTGTTTTATGCAATCATTATTTAAATTAATCATTTTCTGATCATATATTTAAGCCGAATGTTAATGTTTACAGTGTTAGTTTCCACTGTGCGTAGTGTGAGAACAGCTGACAGTAATATTTTATACATTTTCAGTCATAAAGCCTCTGTCTTGTTTTTGAGCAGTTAGGACTTTTGTGTTACTGTATTTTAATGTTGTTCATGGTGGTGGCACAAGTATTTTTTTGAACTGGAACTTGGTGTAAAAAAATGGAGAACCACTTTCCGAAAGGATGAATTGCAATAAAAATGTATTTCAAAATATTTGGAAACTTCATATTGTTTATTTGTTTATTTTTAATCCCAAAATGTTCTTGATTCACATGAAAACAAATGACAAGAACCAATTATTCAAGACATTGTTGCAGCGGATGCATGTTACACAGATTTAGCTGTTATGGTTTGTTCTACAGTCTGTTTGTCTTGGTTATTCTTCAAGAAAACTCAGTTGTTGATCAGTGATGGGAAGCTCATCTCAAAATGGCTTGCCTTTCCTTCACAGATCTACCCATTGGATGGGAAGAAGGATATACGTTTGAGGGTGCACGATGCTTCATCAAGTGAGTGACACAACCTTGCCACTATTAGGGCTGGGCAAGAAAAAGCATCATGATTATAATGAGATATAGAAATGAACACTGAAGATATTCATATGAAAAATTAAGACGATATCAGTCAACCATGTGGACTTTCTCGCTAGTCCAGCGAGCTTTGCCTTTCAACATATTCACACTTTCCTCTTTCTGATCACCCACGTCTTATTTCTGTAGACAGCTTTGTGTTGCATTGAAGATATTCATATGAAAAATTTAAGACGATATCAGTCAACGATGTGGACTTTCTCGCTAGTCCAGCGAGCTTTGCCTTTCAACATATTCACACTTTCCTCTTTCTGATCACCCACGTCTTATTTCTGTAGACAGCTTTGTGTTCCTTGACTGACACTTGATCTTTTTATGAATTAAAAAATGATGGACCGCAACATATTCTATGGGTTATAATGCGATATAGGCTGAAACAGTTCATATCGCAAGGAGCTCACACATTAAATCACCCCATGTGTGGCGGTGAGTGGCCAACTTGGATCATTATTTTTTTTTTGCAGTGGTCTGGTGCAAGTCAGGTTGGAAGCATCGTGCCCTGGGCGATTGGTCTAAGCACTAAAGTTACCTAATGCTTCAAGCCATATATGCACGGACAAATTGACAACATAAAATTGTTATTTATCATTAATGCATAGTTGCGGAACAATGTGAATTGAATTCTTTTTCATTTACTGCAGAAATTCATTGACCCAATTGTGTGTGTGTGTGTGTGTGTGTGTGTGTGTGTGTGTGTGTGTGTGTGTGTGCGTGTGTGTGTGTGTGTGTGTATATGTATGTATGTATATGTATGGGTGTGGGTGGGTGGCTGGGTCTGTGGAAAGACTTGACCGAACACAAAATAATTTTTATGTGGGCTTTATTCCCGACTGAACATAGAAAATGCACAGCATTAATAAGATAAAAGACTGTGATATGTCAATTGGAGATCAAGAGATCAAAGAAAAGTATTTAAAAGAGGTCAAAGAAAGTATCTAAGAGATCCAAGACAAGTAAGAGATCAAAGAAGACGTATATAATAGACAACAGCAGTGGCTTGCTTGATAGGGAAACAGAAATAAAAAGACATTATTTGCTCGCCACAACACTCCTTGAAACTTCACTTAGTCACAGAGCGACTAAACATTACAGTCCAATGTGTTGAGAGGCGGACACATTTACTGAACACTTTCCGACATGTTGGGTGCACACAAGACACGCGGAAAAACACAAATAATCTCCCCTCTAAAGTACACATAAAACAGTGCATGTCATTTCACAGTCAGAAAAACATATTTACATCTTGTGAAATCGAGAACACTTAGGCTGCACGGCTGTTCACACGACACGCCACACGGCAGCATTCAAGCTCCCAAACCACGATGTTGTACTCTTAAAAATATTGAATTGAATTGAATTGAATTGAATTCGGGTATATCAAGTTGGAAAAGGTGTGTGTGTGTGTGTGTGTGTGTGTATATATATATTTAGATTTATATTTATATTTGAAGTTATTTCCGTATTTCCTGCACGTCCACGTGAATTTGGAACAACTGCATTCCATATCTGTACCCAAGCGGCCTGTAAAAAGTTAATGATTACACATAGGAAGATTGTGCAAGTCCATGGCAGGCATGGGCAAAGTGTGGCTGTTGCCTTTGAGTGGATTTTATTGATTCAGTCTTACCCCCAAGTCCACTTAAGAGTTTGAGTCGCATAATCAAGTCTGTTTTCCTTCTGCTTTTTGAGTGTATTTGATTTGCTCGCACTTTAACATGCCACTTGTCTTAAATAGATGAAAAACATTTCCCAGGTTTGTGCCAGCCTGCAGCATTACAGGAATTTGAAGAGCTTCATGTTCACTTTGCTCGGCTCGAAGACTTGGATATACATAAATTATTTCACTTGCTGGCTCTAGTCAGGTTTCCAACCAAATGGTTCACGAATCTTAAATCCATTTTGAGAAAATCTGCAGAACACAATGCAAATGTACAGGTGTTTCATGCATTCTTCTCTTTCATTTGTTTATCATCAAACTGACGTAGTTTGAGGGGTCCTAAAACTACTTTTGTTCAGTCATCAAACTTAGTTTGAGGTGTCCTAACACTACTTTTGTCCATTGCGGCAAATCTTTAGCAAGAAATGCTCCTACTACTTGGGTTATCTATTTATTTATTTTTATGTTGATCTCAAGCAACACAGTAGATGCATTCTCCAAAGACACTAGTGGTTTAATTTTTTATCTTGAGCTACTCTTTGAAGCCGGATACAATTACAACTGTGTGCGGGTGACCGTGCAACATGCACATGCGCACGCACAGCATCAATGCAAAGTGCATGATAAAACTGACCACCCCCAAAGAAAAAAAAAAGATGCGGCCTAAGGGCGTATTGTGCCACGCAGACCATACAGACCCGAGTATCATTTGATCGCTACTGCCCACTATTGTTTAATAGTTGTTTCTCATCAAATAAAAGGACGCCATCAATAATTATAGGAATTGAAATATTTTGTCACCTTTTTCAGTGGGTTTCTTTCGTGAAATGAAGGTGGGACCCCGGGAGGATGAGTTTGCATTGCAGAGGATGCAAGAGCGTCGTGTCACCATGAATTCACTCTCCCACGTTGACTTCGACATGAATTTGAGCTGCTCCATGTGGCAGGCTGTCAGGCAGTCAAGCTGAAAGTCAGTCACTTTATAGCCGAGTGTTTTATCACTTTGAACACTCGGTGCAACCCAGAGCACCACACCACATCTCTCAGTTGAAAACAAAGCCACTAGCACAATTGCTGTTACCGGACTATTTCCCCAATGATTGTTTTGGAATTAGTGAAAAGTTTACCTCAGTTTAATTTGTGATTGATTTTCAAATGTGTTGTATCATATTTTACAGTCGGAGGATGGTTATTGATTATTTGACAAGTAGCACAATTTATGTGCACTGATCTTGCTGTGTGGCTCCGTGCAGCCATAAAACTCATTCAGAGCTCATCCAATTGACACATTTTCCGACTTGCAGGCAACATTCTGCTTCGGTACGTGATGGCTATGCCTGCTTTGCTTGAAATGGTCCAAAGTGTCTTTAAAATGTGACAACATGCAGCTGCTCTTCAGTACACTTCCTCTTCGTTTTCTGGCTGTGTGCTCTTCTGCAGCCTGTTGACAGTGTTGACACTTCAAATTTTCTGGTTGTGGGCTATTGTGGATGTTGCACGGTGGGGAACAAAGGCTGATCCGTGTTACCAGCCTTGTAGTCCACTTGGCAAACGACAGCTCTGTTATCGGTTGTCCAACCATTTTGCTGCATTACCGTATTTTCCGCACAATAAGGCACAACTAAAACCTCAAAGTCAATTGCACTGTCAATCACCTCAACAGAACAAACAAACAACACCAACAACAACAAAAAACTTCTGCATGTCACACAAAAATAAACTGGCATTTTGGTGGATTGTCAAATACATTTTACACAGCAAATCTGTACAAACATCCTGGCAAAACATCTCCATTTGAGAACAAAGAACCAATTCATGGAGAAACTCAGATCTAGCCACTCCGTGTTAATTAAACTTAATGATTGTTAAAGTGGCCTCTACAATATGTGTCACTTTAAAAATGCACAATGCCAAATATGTAGTTACAACCGTCTCTTTATTTTTCAATTTGCAATAGCGCGAAGACGAGAGAGAAATGGGTCAATAGTTCCCAATTACTCATTAGCAGTAATGTCTTCGAGTTTTTAAATCCAGCAGCTTCTGGGTCTTCTCCCAATGTGATAAATCAAAGAAGAGAAATCCATCCCGGTATTTAGCGGTATTGGCACGTCTTCAGCCATTAGAGAAGAAAGGTTCCGAAAGCAGTTACTTTTTACATTCAGCGCTTTTCATGGCCAAAACTTCAACCGTGTTAATGAGGTTTAAGTAAACCAAGTACCGTATTTTACGCACTAAAATGCGCACCTAAAACCCTTCCATTTTCTTAGAAGATCACAGCGCGCCTTAAAATCCGATGCGCCGTGTGCATGCTCATTACGGTAAAATTTTAACCCCAAAATGGCTCCTTGCTTGAGATATGCTGACAACGCAGAGTTCAAACTTAAGGCGATAGGTTATGCAGTTGAACACGGAAATAGAGCAGCGGCAAGAGAGTTCAACGTTAACGAGTCATTGTTATAACTCACTGTTGTTTAAGGGAACAGCGTCGCTGCTTTGTTGAATATGTTTTACTGACATCTGATCGTTCTTTCTATTGGCGTTTTCTTGAGAGTAGCTCCATCTAGTGGATGCATTGTAGATTGCATCTTATACTGCGGTGCGCCCAATATATGAAAAAAATTACAAAATAGGTCATTCATTGAAGGTGCGCTTCATAATCCAGTGCGCCTTTTAGTGTGGAAAATACGGTAGACTTCTTGCATGGAATAGAATACTTATTCTCAGAAACACTCGACAGTATGCAAGCATGTTATGATTATTTCTTTTTTTTTTTTTTTTTTTTTTTTTGTCTTTAGACGACTATGACGGCATAGGTAGCACATGCAAACTTTTCTGTTCTCTGTGGCCAAAACTTACCTTTTGGTCGGACTTGCCCAAAACCTGCGCGGCTGCTTGCTGCTTAAGTTCAGTACCTTATAGATTTATGAGACACCGGACTTCATTTTTTATTTTATTATTATATTTTTTCAACATTTCTTTTGCAGAACATTTTTGTTTGTGCCGGAGCATTTTCGTCAGAGTTATGCACGAGAGAAGGTTTAACACCTGCTTAGGTTGTGACAAGCTGTCCTATCCATCGATTTAATTTCTATGAATTCATCTCACAGTGTTCCCTTTGTATGTGGGTGGTGAAGAAAATTTTTGAATCACATTTTTGGGTTATCGTTGCCATCTGTCCATTTCTATTCCTCCTGTACTGTTAAGGGTCACCGAGAAGTGGTCACCCAACCCAGATGACTTGGGCCAATGCTTTCCAACCAAG